CCTTCACAGGTGCATGCAACAAGTATCACAAAACAATGTAAAACCTAACATAGGCTTCCAGCCTCAATCTGACAAGCTAACATAAGTGGCATTTTTATATTATTGATGAAACTGCTTGGCCTTTCTTTGCTTGGAATCGATAAACTTGTCCACTGGGGATGCTAATAGCTGGGAGCTGTGGGAGGCCTGCACTGAGCAGGCGCCTTCTCACTAGCGAAACTAACAACCCTCACGCTATCCCGCACCATTGATTCATCGTCATCATTGCGCTGCCACACCCACTCTGCCTCCCCGTATGCACCTCCTGCCGCTCCTGATTCGGCCGATGCTTGCTTTTTCTTCCCAAAGATCTTGAGCTCCCCATGGCCAAAGGAAGCTTCTTGGAAGATGGACCACTCTGGTGAGGGAGACAGGTACCTGGTACGTGTGGGGGGCAGTAAAGAAAGGAGAAGGTATTATTGATATCCATGTGCAATCATGTGATATATACTAGCGATGTGGTGGTGAGCGGAGACAATGCAACAATTTTACGCGACCCATTCAATCGCACAGTACAGAAGGAAGGCGGGACAGTGTTACACCACCTGTTTACTGCACTAAATGTTTACTGGGACAGATATCACTTGCGAGCATTTAAACGGGCCAGCAACGGTGCGATGCATACCTGGTGGCGAGGCCCTCCTTGTTGCCGCCATCCCCAATGGTGATGTAAATAGGTCCACACGGATCCACTTGCCAGTCAAACACTCGCTCCTGCCAGCCGACATAGCAACGAGGGAACGAGGGAAAACATGGAGAAAAGTGCAGTTGCATAAAGTGTCGACAGGAACGCCTAATGTCAACGGGGATTGCTATGCTGCACCTGAGCAGCCCCACGAAAAAGCACATATCGAGGCCCCACCATTACAACCAAAGTGTATCTGTAAAACACCCATAACTGTGGGTCTCACAGTGCGCTCGTAGGCATGCACGTGACCGGCAAACACCATGTCAGTGCGCGCGTCGTACAGCACGCGCTCAAGAGCGCGGCGCATGGGCTCTGCCTCCAGCTGGTGCGCCGTGTTGCTGTTGTACCATGGCGCATGCACCACCGCCACCAGCCACGGCGTGCGCGACCGATCCACCCCCGCCAGGTCATTCTGAGAGGAATATTTTGTGATGCACGAGGATGGACAACAAGAGTGCAGGTGGATGGAAATCTTTCAGGAAAGAAGAGAAGAGAAAAGAAGAAGCCTCTCACAGCTACCCCAAAGCAGCACTCCTTGCCCTCCCCACCCCTCACCTTGAGCCATTGTCCCTGAATGGAGTCTGGTTCAAAGTCAGAGTAAGAGTTGAGCATGACCCAGTGCACGCCCGCACTCTCAAACGAGTAGAACAAGTTGGAGGGCGACGCGCTCTCCGCAGCCGGCATGGTCCACCGCGCATTGTACGCCGTGAAGGGCCGCACCAGCCCCGGCAGGCTCTCTATCTCGTGGTTTCCCGGGATCACCATCCACGGCCGTGTGCTCGCAAGCGGCTCAATGAGGTTCTGCCACGTGTCCCAGCGTGGCTGGTAGGCGTCGGCGTAGGAGAGGTCGCCTGGGAGCACGAGCAGGTCGTGCGGCTGCTGGGCTATGTGGTCCAGCGTTGACACCGTCCACCCCGTCTGCCCCATGTCACCTGGAGATGCCAGGGGGTGGGCAGGGGTGGGAGGGGATAGGAGGGGATGCTGTTCATTCTCGTGCATGGTGGGAGTGAATGTACACCCAGAAGCTCCAAAATACCAGATGTGTTAGGCTATTAGTAGGTAGTCCAACACATGTTACGTGATGTGGGTGGGGGAAGCCATGGCACGCAAGATGCAGGAGAGGGGCGGCACTGACCAACGATCGCGATGTTGATGGAGTTAGAGGGGTCAGCAGGGAGGGTCTTGAATGACCTCTCCGTGAACCCACTCCGCACAATGCCCCTCCCACTGCTGATCAAACCCGCTTGCTCCACACCACCGCTGCTGCCGTTACCCGCTGCATTTGACACAAAGGAAAGCGTGGCAGGGGAGGCAGGACTGCTCGCTCCTACGGCTGCCACGTCAGCAGGCTCAGCAGCAGGCTGGGCCACGTCAGCGGTGGTGTCCGTTGTGCCGACGCGGTAGTAGTAGACGGTGTTGGGGGCGAGAGGCTGCTCCGGGCCGCCAATAACCGCCGTGTGAATGAACCCCGACCTGGTGGGGGCAGCGGTGGCAGTGGGTGGACGCTCATGGTTTGAAATTTAGACAAGGTGCATAGGAAGAGAGGAAGAGAGTGAGGAACTGGACCTTGTGCGCTGGTAGTGTTGCGGGGAGGCTCACGGTTTTGGATCAAGCCAAGATGCGACGTTGAGGGGAGAAAGGAAAGAAGGGTTGGGGTAAGGGGGGGAGTGGGGGAAGGGAGAGTGGGAGAGAGGTGAGGGGAAAAATGGGTGGAAGGTGGGGGGAAAGTGCGAGCGAGACAGGGCTGGAAATGGGCACTTCAGAGGAGGCTTTACGTTGAGTGGTGGGCTGTGCGGACCAGATGGTGCAGGTGAGTCTCACCGGTAGAAGAGGAAGCTGTATGAGGTGGTGGTGCCCGTGACAGTGTGTGTGTAGCGCCCTGGCGCGTCACCGTACTGCACCACTGCAGGTGCTGCACCGTCCATTGTCAACCATGTTACTCGCATGGCGCCAGGCCCCGCCAGGCTGATGTGCACCTGCGACAGGGGAGGTACACGCAGGGGAGGTGCAGGGGGGCGCAGAGAGGCACGGAGCGGCGCAGTGGGGTATAGAGAGGCACAAAGAAACACAGTGGTTCCAGGGTGGCGTGGATGGGGAGATGGGCGGAGTCAGCTTTGCAGCTGAGGGTCTGCATTGTTATTCCTGACGTGCCAAGGCATCACCTTGCTACAACCCACCACCCACATTGCTGTGTTTGCTGCATTGCTGCATTTTTTTGTTACTGAATTGCGGCATTGCCGCGTCACTGCATTGCACACGCTGCATTGTTACTTGAGCGACTACTCGCCCACCTGCTGCGGCTCGTCGGCCTGCCTCGCGGGGCCGAACAGACGGCTGCTCATGGGCAGGTCCGGTCGGTGCCCCGGCCGAATGTACTCCTCCGCCACCGACGCTCCGCCCACGGGGGCAAACTCCGCCACGCGCGCAAGCTCCCCCATTGTCCCCAGCGCGCTCAGCTCCTCCGCGTACACGCCATTGCCCGCTTCAGCGTCGTCGATCGCGCCGTTCAGTCCGCCGCTGGTGAGGAACGGCAGGAGGTTGTCCAATCGAGCGCTGAATGCGCCGCCGAATGCGGACGCGGCTGCAGCGGGCTCTTCGGCCAGAGCGGGCGCAACGGCGCCGCCGGAAGAAACGCCGGTGATGGCGGTGGTAGCGAGGAGGACCGAGGCGAGACAGGCTACAGCAGACGCGGCAACGGAGGAGAACGCATTACTGCCTGCGACATTCGTAGATGTTCTCGCATCGTTTCCGGCTTTACCGCCAGCTGCATTCACTGATCTCCTCTGCAATTCAGGCGCGTTCGAGGCCGTGGAATGTAGATCGAATGATGTATTCGGCGTGTCAGAAGGCGATCCATCGTTCCCGCTACTCGCTTGCACGCGGCGCCGCGCGTTGCTCCGAGAGTCGATCAGGCCGCTACGTCTGAAGGCTCTGGTTTGCTCCGCGGAGAGCAATAAACGAGGACAAATCAATGGCGAAAACGAGTTCGGCGAAGAGAGTCCGGTTCTGGCGCGAGAAGGAGGCGAGGCGATGGAGCCGTGGAGGTGGAGAGCGGGCATTGCGGCACGACCAGCGCAGAGAGTCGTCGCCATAACTGGATGTGGTACGCACGGCCGGCTCGCTAGGGCTGCTGCAGGCGAGATTGATTGGTGGAAGCAGCCAGCAAGACAGTACGTATTGGCTTCACAAGCAGGCTGGATGGACTGACAAGCCAGACTTGTATGAACAAGGATTAGCTTGAAACTCCTCTGATTCCTGATTCTGACGAACCGTGCCGTGACACGCTAGCTGCGCTTGCCTGAAATTTGCAGCTCGATACATTCCCCCTCGGCGACCACATCACACCCACGATGCATCCACCCCTTGCCGCCTGCGGCGACCAAAAGAATATTTTGTATCGTGAATCCCGGGGTTGGGTTGGGTTGGGTTGGGAACTCTTCCGGGGAAAAGGCAGGCGCAGGGCAGGCCGCATGCTCTGCGTAAGAAGATGTCACAAGTTTGGAGAGATTCGCATCAGTCAAGGAAGAAATTGATTTCTGATTGGATGGATGAGGAATCTAGGCCCAAAATCCGGTGATTCTGTCAAGTGTTCTTATGTACATGTGGAGCACCAAAACTCGCTCATCTATACGTTTATTCATGTAGCTTTTGCGGGTGTTGATTCAACCATTGCAGGTTTGTGTTTCTTGATCGGGACCTGTTGCAGCGAGTATACAGCTCCCTCCCACCTCGATTTTCATGTGCTCTAGGGTTTTCGTGACTGCTTTGCTTGGTAGCTGTGATAGCTTCGTCAATCTCGATGAACACAAACTATGGGGTACTGCTCCTGGTAATGCGGTCTCTTCCGTCCTACGTCACCTCAATTGCTCAGCATAAATAGAGAAGCACGTGCTTTTCCTTTCGTTAAATCATTTTGTGTGTCATCGCAAGAATCGCGTTTACTAGCCCTCTGACCTGATGAGCTTGTCTTGATGTTGCAACAACGGCCCAGCTCCCGCAGTTCGAGCTCCATTTTCAACCACAAATGGCGATGTCTTCTTCCACGGCGTTAGTAGTCAAAACCCCACCTATGTCCGCCGCGCCTTCCTCTACTTCTCAGTACTCTCCGCGTACTCCTAGATACCCCCTCACCCCAGACGGCCGGCTTAGTAGCAACTGGGTGACTTTCTCGCTCCCCTCTTCGTCCGGTACTCTCCGCTGCTGCTTTCACTCCTCCCAGCTCCACGCTATCCACCCGTTGGCATGTGAGAGGGTGCAAGTCGGTCCTACCCTCATGCTGCTCTACCCATCAAGATCCCTCGCCTTCTCCTCGCTCTCCGCGCTTCTCTCCTTCCGCTCCTGGCAGTTCCCGCGTGGACTCCTCGCGCTAACCACCACCCGCCAGCCCTTCTCCTCCGCAGCCTCCGCCGCTTCCGCGGGTCGCTCTCCGGAAACCCGTCTCCCAGGCTTCGCGCCACGTGGGGGGGGACGTCGCCGTTAGCCCAGTCCCTGCCGACTGCTACGGAGTATGGCAGAGCAGCTGTCAGCGACGGTCGCGCAGTCACTACAAGAGAAAGACGTGGTCCGAGGAGGGCGAACAATGGTAACCGCTTCACCTCTCCTGTGGGTCTCGATTCGCCTCGTGCCGGCCTTTCCGAAGAGAAAGCCCTTGACGTAACGACCACCGCTAACGGAGTCCATAACGGGGTGAGTCGAGAAGACTTTAACGAATCTGTAAACGGCGCTACTAACGAAGCTCCTAGCGATGTCGACACTTTCCGCGCCGCCCCAGTGGACATTAACAGGGAGACCCGACCCAGACGATTCGACGAGGTAATCGGACAGGATAATACGGTGACGCTTCTCAAAGCTGCAGTGGCTGGTGATCAAGTCGTTTCGACGTACCTCTTCTATGGCCCGTACGGTACGGGGAAAACCTCCGCTGCTCGCATCCTTGCTTCCGCAGTCAACTGCTCCACGCGGAAGCCTGGCGACGGGAACCCGTGCGGCGGGGAGTGCGCGCACTGCCGCGCCGGGGCGGACGGGACGAGCGAGCACGTGGTGGAGATCGACGCGGCGAGCAACCGCGGCGTGGCGGTCGCGAGGAAGATCGTGGACGACGTAAAGAAGACCGCGGAGAAGGAGGCGCCGCCGACCACGCCGCCGACCACGCCGCCGACAACGCAGGGCACACGTATTGTTCACATTCTTGACGAGTGCCACATGCTTACGAGAGAAGCTTGGGCCACGTTGCTGGATACGCTGGAAAAGCCTGTGGGCGACCCCGTGTTCATCCTCGTTACCACCGACCCGGAGCAGTTGCCGCGCAACATCGTCTCGCGCTGCCAAGAGCTCGAGTTCTCGGCCGTGCCCAATGACGTCATGGTGAATGACCTGCGGAGAATCGCGCGGATGAAGCGGTGGGAGGCCTCTGATGACGGGCTGCGCGCGATTGCGGAGGAGGCGGCGGGGTCGATGCGCGACGCGAAGAAGGTTCTGCAGCAGCTGAGCCTGCTGAAAAAGCGGATCACGGGAGACCTGGTGCTCGATCATGTGCGCGCAGGGAGGGACGGGGGAAAGGGGACGGGATGAAAGGGGGAGGGGGCGGGAGTGGGACGGGAGGGGGCGGGAGGAGGCGGGAGGGGCCGGGAGGGGACGGGAAGGGCGGGGAGGGGGAAAGGGGACGGAAGGCAAGACATGCAGGTTTAGGGAAGGGGATCTTCTGTTTCTCGCCCCCACGCGTGCTTCTCCCCCCTTCCTCTCCCCTCGCTTACCATTCCCCCCCTCATGCTCGTCACTCTTAAAGATCTCTGTTGTGACATTCCTTCCTCACTCTTTGACGCGACTCTCCCCCCGTCCTCCACCCCCTTCTCCCACACTCTCCTCTGCTTTTCTCACTCTCTCCTCCTTCCCCATTCTCCTCCCTCCACTCACTCTCCTCTCCTTCCCCACCCTCCTCTCCTCCCTCACTGTCCTCTCTTATTCCGCGTCCCTCCACCCATCCGTCCCTCAGTTCAAGCGGTTGCCGCAGTGGAAGGCGGAGGCAATGCTGGTGCACGCGCTGAGCGACGCACAGCCAACGGAGGTGGCGGAGGCGGCCAAGGACCTGGAGCGCAGGGACGTGGCGTTCCCGCAGGTGCTGCGCCAGCTTAGGGATGCCGCCACTGACGCGCTCACGCGAAAGCGCACCAATCGACAGCTCGATTTCATAGCCAGTACGCAGTGTCAGTGGGTCCTTCCCTCGTTTTGGGACTGTGCGAGCAGTCTGGAGTAGACTTGTACTCACGTCCTGTAGTTTTCTTTCTTCCCATACGCCTCCCTGTTTGCTTTTCTTGTTTATTGCTCTCTCGCCTCGCCGCCCCGCTTCCGGCCACCTTCCTCTGCAGCAACTGAAGAGGGCCGGTCGCTGCTGCAGGCAGCGGTGAAGGAGTTAAGAGAGGCAGAGAAGCAGCAGAAAGAGGAACCGACCAACATCAAGCTGTTTACATCATTGCTCGTGGAGCTGCCTCTTCTCTTAAAGACATACCCCTACTCCTTCCAGATTTCAGCCGCATCCGACTCCGCTTCCTCCTCTCCTTCGCCCCCCTCACAACCCCCCTCCTCTCTCATGGCACCAGCGGAAAGTTCTTTCTCCCCTCCCTCTCAACCTTACTTCCCGTCGCCGGCTGCATACAAGTCGAGTGGTGAACGTTTCACCCCGCACCCGGACGCCAGCCATCCGTCCTCGCCATTGCCTCGCTCCATAGCTCCCCGGTCCGTCCGCGGGCCTGCTTCGCATGCTTCTCCCAACTCGCAACCTCCCTCCTCTCCTGCCTCCTCGGCCCCCCACTTAGCCTCCACCCCTCCCCGCCCGCCCTCCTCCTCGCCCCCGTCCCCAGACGTCTCCTCCTCCTCCACTGCTCCGTCCACTCATCCTCTTTATCTTCCTCGTCCCGCCCTTCCTCCTCCACCCCCACCTCCTCCGCGCCCCCCCCGTCCTCCTCGCCTCCCACATCCGCTGCGCCTAGCGGGGCTGCACGGGCGGAGGGGGAGTGGGGGGAGCTGGCGAGGAGAGCCACGGCGGAGATGACGCCCCACCAGCGCTCCCTGTTCACTCAACAGGCCTGCATCGTTGCTGTCACCGATACGTCTGACACTCTTACCACTGGTAAGGACACCTCGTTGATTACTTCCATGTGTGTGTGTGACGCTGCGTTGCTCCATGCGCTTTCTGCTTGCCGTTTCTTCCTACTGCTACTCCCCCCTTTTCATTGCCCCCGCTCCTCTCCTCCCCGTCCCCACTTTCCATGGATGCACGCACAGTTTCTGCTTCCGCCTCCCTCGCGTGCTCGGCACATAGGGGCACCGTTTCAGCAAGCTTCACAAACCACCCTCATGCAATTTGCGCGTGTATAGCACTTCTCTTTACAAGTCTCGCACATATTTGTGTCTTCCACCCCCTCCCTTCATCACGCCTCTCCCCTCCCCTTCTCCCCTCTCCCCCTTGGCGCACATGGGTCCCCTGTTTCCCCCCCTCAGTCACGCTGAGCTTCCTCCAGGCGTGGATAAAAAAGCTCAACGATGGGAGGCGCAAGACAATCATTCCCGGCTTCACTGAAGCCTTCTCAAAGGTCCTCCGCAGCCGCGTGACCATACAGCTGGTGGACAAAGAGTCCCTGGGGGCTGCTACGGATGCACCCAGTGCGGAGGACCTAGCAGCCGCGGCCTCTGCATCTGCTGCTGCTGCTGCTGCTGCTGCTGCTGCTAAGTCTGGCACAGTCCTTAAGGGGGCTGGAAGGAATGTGCCAGAGGAGAGACGCAGAGTGAGGGAGGGTGTCAGTCAGTCGGTACCTGAGGAGGAGGGGAGAGGGTTGGTGGTAGCGAGTTCGCAATGAGACAAAGGCAAAGGAGCTAGGAAGAACAATCAAGCAAGCGAGGCGGTGCCTAATCACTCGTTTCAGCCCCCGCCGCCCCCGCCTGCTGCGCAGAGCTACCCTCAGCTCGCCCAGTTGCAAGCAGTTGCTGCGAAGGCCGCTGCTGCTAGAAGATCAGCGGACATGCGGAAGAACCAGAGGCGAGCAGCCCAGCAGGCGCCAAGGGTAGCGTCTCTGCCGCTGCCGGCAGTTGTAACTCCAGGAGCAGCAGGTGCTCATGCTTCCTATGATCGGAGTGACCATGTCACGACAGAGGCAGGTTCCGGGTTGTTGGAATCAGGTGGGCCGGAGGTAGAGCGTGGCCGTGGTGCTGCTGATGGCTGGGACTCGAACGACGTTTTGAGTCATGGTCCTTCACAGGTGAATGCTGTGCATTTGTCTGTGCCTGCGAAAGCTGGCTCCAGCGCAGCTTCCAGTTCCAGCAGCAGCAGCAGCAGCGGCGGTGTCAATGATATCTCGACAGAAGCGGTGGGGCATGGAACGGAGTTGCCATCACCAGAGCCGGTGGATTCTGGAATCACAGAAGCAGGTCAGCCAGGAACTTCTACACCTGATGAAGAAACAGGAACTGCCATTCTTGGTGGTGGTGAGGCTGACGGTGGGTTGACAGTGGGGAGTGTGAGCCATGAATATGACCCATCGATCAATGATGCGCAGCTGGGACTTAATTCTGTTTCGGAAGTCGAGGAGGCGCCAGGAGGCGTTATTGTGGGGAGCCATGAGGGTGATGCAGATGTGGAGGGCCCTCCAGGGGGCGCTCTTGTGAATGGGGTTGTGAACGGTCATGCGGTGGAGGATACTGTGCGTGATGGTTTTCTGGAAGCCAGTGTGGGCCATGGCATCATGGATGGGGGCCTGCTAGGGGTTGTTGCACAAGGAGAGGATCTGATCGCAGATATCGAACGCGCTTCTGACGCCGTCCCTGTTGTTGCTCCTGCTGCTTTGGTTGACGCTCCTGCTGCTTCTTTGGCGGACGGTCCTGCTGTTGCTTTGGCGGACGGTCCTGCTGTTGCTTTGGCGGACGGTCCTGCTGTTGCTTTGGCGGACGGTCCTGCTGTTGCTTTGGCGGACGGTCCTGCTGTTGCTTTGGCGGACGGTGCCGCTTCTGCTTTGGCTGATGGTGCTGCTGAAGCAGAATCTGATGCGGAGGCTGTGGCCGCAGCAGAAGCTGATGTGGAGGCTGTGGCTGTAGCAGAAGCTGATGTCGAAGTTGCTGCTGCTGCCTTTGCCTCTGCCGCAGAAACTGATTTGGAGGCAGCTGCTGCTGGCGCCAATGCTATGGCTCCTGTTGACAACAGCAGCATTTCTGCTCAAGCCATTCCCAGAGTTGCTGCTGCTGAAGTTGACACTGGCATGGATGCAGCCTATCCTAGGGATGGTCGTGGTGGATTCAGAGGCTATACTGACTCTGGCCGGCGTGAAGAAGGTGCTGCTCTTGCTGCTGCTGCCCGGACCTCCCCCAGCCGTGGTACGCGTCCCACCGTTGCCACAGCTTCCGCTGGTCGCGGGACCAGCGGCTCAAACGTTGGGGGAAGCACTGGTGGGGCCGTGCGCATGACCTTTGCACCTCGTGGCAGGACTCGGGGACCTGTTCAACTCAAGGCTTTGCCGAGTGACCATGGGGCTCTCAGTAGGACTGATCCTGGAGCTGAGTCAGGGAGGCCGGTGAATGATGTTAAGAGCAGTGGAAGGTTTGATGATTTGGATCCTGCAGAAGCTGCTGCGATTGCGCTTTGCAAAGCGTTTGGAGGAGGCAGGCTGTTTGTATTGAGAGAGGACGGCGACAGGGAGGTGGACAAGTAACGGGGTTTTTTTCAGTGGAGTCTTTTTTCCAGTTACCAACTTACCACCACTGCTGGCTTACCCGAGGAAATTGTGAGTTGCAATTTCAAGATTGCTGATGTTTGTGGATGCGGATACTTGTTGTGATACATGCCATGACCCCAGAACCGTTGTAGGGCACCCTGAGCTCTCAGGGCAGACTTTTATAAATCTATACTGTTCAGAGAACATCAGGTTGACAGTACCCTGATTTTCCAGGCATAGTGAAACTGCCAGTGGTACTTCCGAATGATATATTTCAATCAGGGGTCTAAGCATTGCTGGCACCTATTTATATAGCATGTGGTTGTCTGCTAGCGTGTAGTAGTCTCAGACAAACACACAAGCATCTGGGGAATACCGAAGCAAGCCGTTTGCTTGCTTGGGAGCGGGAAACAAGCCAGGTTTGGTTGACCAGCGTGTAGTTTTGAGATTTGCGAATTCCGTTCTGCGTTGCGACGTTATTCGTAAAACAGCAAGCGACGGTGTGTGCGACATGGCAGGGAGGGAAGTTGCACCGCGACTCCGTGCCCCGCCTTGATTATCTTGGAAAAGTCGGTCTTCCCGCGCGACACGAGAAGTCAGTTCGGCAACTTTCATGTCAGGCAGGCCCGCATCGTGTCTCATCCCTGTTCTCTTTTGGGGCCTCCCTTCAGCCCTTCCACAACATAGCTCCCCTCTCTCAGCATGTCATGTGATCCATTTTGAAAACTCTCCTCAACCTCTACGAATTCGATCTCCCACATCCTCCATCTTACACGTGACATATTCTCCAACCAACCTTGTTCCGGCTTCCTTCCCAGCTGAAGCCATGGCTAACATTGGCATTATGGACGGAGCGTACTTCGTATCTAGGTCTGACATCTTAGCATGGATCAATACGACCCTTCAGCTGAATATCACTAAAGTCGAAGAGGTAGGAGATTCGGACTGTGTGATGCTGACCGTTAAATGGAGCAAGTGCGAAGTATGATCCTGACGTTCTGTCTCACCTTGCGCAGGCAGCTTCGGGGGCTATCCACTGCCAGCTTATGGACGCTATCTATCCGAATGTCGTCCCTATGCATAAAGTACGATTTTCTTATCACTTGGAAGATGTCCACTGCTCAATGGTGGTATGCGACTAATATATTTGTGACTGGATGCCTTGCAGGTCAACTACGATGCGAAGAATGAGTACGAAATGATTCAGAATTACAAGGTCCTTCAGGATGTTTTCGACAAACTGAAGATAGCAAAGGTACCGTGTTTTTGCCAAAGCTGTGGCAAGAACAAGCAGATGATTTTGGTTTTATTGGTTGCCGAAGCAGAAAGCACTTACTATCATTCCTCTTGGTGCAGCACATCGAGGTGAACAAGCTTGTGAAAGGGCGGCCATTGGACAACCTTGAGTTCATGCAGTGGATGAAGCGTTATTGCGATACCATTAGCAAGGGAGTCATCGATCCTAGGTGAGCACCACAAACGCTTGTTTGCTTGAAGCCGATCATCACAAAGGCTTGTGTCGCTAAAGCACGTTGGTGGCGTTGCAGTTACAATCCTGTGGAGCGCCGCAACTCTTCTAAGGGTGGGAAGGAGATGTTGAGGAAGTTTCCTCAACCTGCTGCCTCTCGGCCTCGCGCGCAACCCCGTGCGCAGCCGGTTATGAGCAAGTCAGCGACAGGTAAGAATGAAGCAATCATATTTCTTCTTTTGATCCAAAGGCCCCTTCGCTGACCATCGCTGCCTGTGTGCAGGAACTGCAAGGTCAACTGCCACCCGGACCTCTGCTGGACCGAACACATCTGATTACCAGCTGTATGACAAGCAAGTCCAGGAGCTCCGAGAACAGGTAATAAGAATCTCCTTCTAAGCATTCAGCTCAATCAATCATTATTATGTTTGACAATCGTCGTTGTTTGTGCAGATTTCCGAGCACAAGATGACTATTGACAGCCTTGAGAAGGAACGGGATTTTTATTTCACCAAGCTCAGGGATATCGAACTTCTCTGCCAAACGCCTGGTCATGCTACGTTACCGGTGAGCCGCAGTCCACCTATATCTTGCCGATAACGGTTTTTACTTTTGGAGCACAACACTCATTCCCCAATATGCACTTCTTCCCATCGTAGCAGAACGCTGCCGTGCTGAAGATTCTCTACGCAACAGAAGACGCGGAAGACACTTTGGATCAGGCGCGCGCTCTTTTGCACGGAAATGGCGAGGCAGAAGCAGAAGTTGACAACGAGCAGGAACCTGCCGATGTGGAAGAGGCTGAGGAAGAGCCCCAAGATGAGGAAGTGTTCTTGGATGGGTCGAGCGACGTAACTACCCCCATGGCAACAGTGGAAGTTCAGTGATGTTCATAGCTTCAGCATTTTTAGCGACTAGAGGTGTCATACTTCATACTCCGTTGCTCCATTGCAGCCGAGTTATCAGTTTCAGACAACTTGACGTAGCGATTTAGATAGTGTTGCGACCTTGTATGCCAAACCAGCACTGTGAATAAAGATGCATTTCACAAGTATCTTGCTGGCTATTCATCCAATGTCTGCTTGCCAGAGGCAGATTAGTGTGGGATGGGAAGCTGTTACGAGTGCAATTGAGTGATCGAACGAGAATTGCACTATCTAAGCAAGAGTGCAATGAGCGAAGACATGAGCGAAGAATATATAGCGAAACTACAGTGGTAACGGTAATGAACTGTGGGTGACGCGCGACGGGCCTGGAACCGAGGTTTGGGAAAATGTCGAGGCGGAGGCCCAGAGTGCGGGTCACCCGCCGAGCCGTGAGGTCGGGGTGCGACGTGCGAAGGTGGCGGGAGGATTGTCAATGTAAGGAATTTCGCTAATTCCTTACTGAGGCATCTCTTACGCGTACAATTCCAACTTTCGGAATTCAGGCTCGGTCCGACGACCTCGCCTTCCGAACGTCTCCCGCGTCGCCCTCGGGTTTCCCAACCCCAAACCTACACCCAACCTTCGCGCGACTCCGCGACCTCGGCCTAGCTAGCTGTGCTATATTATACCTAGGCCTCGTTGTTTGCTCAGTAGTTGTAATCACTTCCGCGATATTGCATTCTGCGCACTCTTCTTTCATACAACTCATAACACTTGGTATCAGAGCTACTTTCCTAGGTTACCCTCCACTTTCCGGGGTAGTTTTAGTGCAGGGGTGCGATAGGTTTGGTGGGCTGCAAAGCGGTCGGCTGAGAGATAGATACGATTATCTCGCTCCGACTAATAGCGTTTGCGCCTTCATCAAAACCATAAAAATCGCTGTTAACCCGCTGCCCGCTAGGATGAGTCTCCGAAACATGACACAAGCAGAGTTTGATGTGTTTTTGCAGGACTCGCTGAACGCTGAAGATGAGTGGACGGCACGGATGCAACAAGCACAAGGGACGCAGGGGCAACAGTCACAGCCGCAGCAACAGACACGAGCGGCGCCGAGGCAACAGTCGCAGACTACACCAGGTCAGGCAACAGCGACAACCCCGGTGATGGCTTCAGTGGCGCCCCCGATGCATGCAGCAGCAACAGTCTCAACAACTGTTAAAATAAAACCGACGAACCCACCCCCGTTCAACCCCAACGACAAAACCGTCACTGTGTCGGCATGGTTGTTCGGAGTGGAGGTGTTTTTCAATGCTGCGCAAATTGCTGACGATGCTACCCGCATTAATTTTGCAGTGTCACTGTTACGAGGGCCGGCGTTGGAGTGGTGGAAGCGGACTCTTCAGACAGGGGGGACTCCGGCAGGGATGTCACGTGCGAACGACGGGACCTGGACAACTGTCACGCAACAGGCAACTTCAATCTTCGGAGTGGCCACGATACGCACATGGACGGAGTGGGGCGCCGTGCTGCGAACCAGATTCGAGCATGTATCCGCCTCGGATTCTGCTCGCATGAAGCTGCGCACCTGGAAGCAGGTGGCGTCGGTCCAAGATTACACGGCAACATTCTGCAATTTGGCTGACCAAGTGGACGATATGAGCGACGCGGAACGACTCGACCGATATGTCGCAGGCCTCAAGTACGAAGTACAGTACGAGGTGCGACGGGCGAGGCCACGCGGTTTTCTCGATGCCGTCCAGGTGGCTGAATCAACGGATGCGCTGATGCAATGGGCGAGAATGAGTTCCCGGGAGGGCACTCAATTTCGTGGACCGCCGCGCCAGCCCACAATCAACGGGGTGGATGCACCGAGACGTGGACCTAACACGTGCTTCAACTGCAACCAACCGGGCCACTGGAGGAAGGACTGCCCGAAGCTGAAACAGGGAAACAGGAACGACGGAGAGGGGTCGGGAAAAGAGACGAGTCAGTAGCAGTCGGGCCACCTACTGACGAGACCCCGTCGCCCGGCAATCAACATCCACACCGAGTGGTGGTACCGATACGGGCTATCGACCGCAACCGGACGAATAAGGTGGATGAACACGTGGATCACCTTGTGCTGGTCGTGGGGAGGGTTAACGGCTAAAAAATAAAATTATTCGTTGACGGTGGGGCGAGCCACAGTCTCGTCAACCTGGCAACGGCAAAAAAAATAGGGGTCAAATTGGACAGGTGTCTGCCCGAGATTGACGCGCGACTGGTGGACGGGACACCGCTGGCGATAAAAGACGAGGTCCGACAAATTCGGATGAAGTGTGGCGACGATTTCGGGTTTTCAATGCGAATGCTGGCGACAACACTGGACGGTTGCGATGTGGTGCTGGGACGAGATTGGCTACAGCGTTTCAATCCGACGATCGACTGGACGACGGGGGCGATCACGGTGCTGTGCAACAAGGGGCGCGTGACACTTCCGAAATGGGCGGAGCCGGAGCCGATGACAACACGTGTCAACGCAATAACGATGAAGAGGGCGATAAAACGGGGAGCGCAAGGCTACACCGTACAGCTGTACGAGGTGGTGGCTTCCGAAAAAATCGCCGACATCGACACGCTCTGCGCTGCTGTACCCAACGACGTGGCGAGCATAATTCGGAGGT